CTCTCTCTCTCTCTCACTCACTCACTCACTCTCTCTCTCACTCACTCTCTCTCTCACTCACTCTCTCTCTTTCACTCACTCTCTCTCTCTCACACAACGTCAATCGATCTAGCGTTCTAACTTTGATATTACTCGATTAAAAAGCTTGACCTACCTTGAAGACGTCCACGTCTCTGATAATAAAGATCGTGGAAGATAAGCACCACTGAATTGTGTAGAGTGATTATCCTACTTTTTTTTTCTCCCTTGACCACTTTTCTGCGGGGGTCCGAAAGTTCGAAATCCTTGTACGTAAGCTTCGTATCTCGAGATGTCAGCACAGTGAAGATTGTTTCCTTCGTGATATAATATAATGTGTCGTTACACAGTTTTTGTAATCAAACAGAGGAAGAGGGTCGTAGCCGGACTATGCTGCTTATCACCAGTTACCTGGTCTTATGACCGACGGCTGAGCGCTCCTCGCTCCTATCTCTCGGTGGCTATCGGTGCCTCGACCTGGGTCGCCGCAGTGGGACGGTAGTGAGTGATGGGGACTGGGGACGGTGGTTCGTTCGAGTTGGACAAAATCCCAGTTTGTGTATATCCGGTTATCCGGTTAGGGTATTGGGAAAAGAGGGTTATTAGGGTAAAGACGGATCAGGTGTTTGTTGGCTGATTGTCATTTTCAGAAGGAAACAATTTTTACCCGTTCCTCCCCCCCCCCCCCTTTGCCCAATCCTATCAAAATGACGGAATTTGATTGGTATGTCGTTGTGCCCGGGACGTGATGGCTATAGTCAACGTAAGGTTATTATAAGGTTAGTTTTGTAGGTGGTTGACGGTACATTGTTTCTTGTTCTAGTTACGATTCACGGTCTCCCTAGAGACAGTCCTAAAACAACGCACAAAAAACTGCACAGTTTAAGAGTTGTAGGCTCAGGGTAGTTGTTAGTATTAGAAACCTATTGTTAGAAACATTCACAATGATGTTATAGTGGGTGGTTGGCGGGTGCTCTGGTGTGGTTTGCTTCTTCTTTCCTATCCAACATCTATCTTCCTTATCTCCCCTTCTTCTTTTTTATGTTTGTTACTCTCTTGTAACACCTCTAATCTTCTGGCGCTCATATGACCTTATGCAGTTGCGAGTGCCGTAAAACCTCTACTAAAACTAAAAACTTCTAACTATGCAAATATATGTTGTTCAAACGGTTGCTACTCTGACCATTTGAATATCAAATTTGGGCTGGGGTGGAGAGTAAGGTGTTTGGTGCGTTTTATGGACAGTTGAG